TTAACAGGAAACATTAAATTTTGTGGAGGCCGTCGTCACCTGCGGTGTATAGTCTGCACCCGACGCTCTTCTCGTTTTTTGAAAGGGAGCATAATTTCCTGCTTTTTGAATCTTTTTTGAGAGAAAAAAAATGTGCAGGTCACTAATATTTTGGCAAACACTTCTGACTGCTACTGTATGTACATACAGTCAAATTGTTATTCTTATATGCGCACTCGTACAGGAATCGATGGAAGAAAAACAAAGATGTATTATGTCTTGCCCGCCTTTGAAAATGTACGGGGAAAATTTAATGCGGTCAAATAAGCATTCAGTGACGTTGCTTTTCGCAGCCGCTTAGCTCTGACTCATACCGTGGAACGTTTTTTTTTCAGAGGGAGTGCCAGAGCTTCGATTTGAATCTGCTCCTCTCAAAAAATGTTGATGAGTGCTCTTCAGCGGTGTTAGCAACACTCTGTGTGTTGCCTACTGCATTGCTCATCATCGATGTTTGCCAAACAGATTTGAAAGAAATCCCTTTAAGCTTCACTTAACGGCATTTGTTGGAACGCGAGAAACGAAGAGCAACGTTCCACGGATTTTCTTTTGCTATTCGTATTTGCCGAACGCCTCATTGCTCTTTTTGCTAAGGATCAAACAAGTGTCACGTTAGATGAGTATTTGAAGAAAGGTTAGGGAGCGATTAAGATAGATTCCGAGAAGGTCCAAAGGAGACGTGATGGTGCTCAATGGCATGCAGTGGCGAAAAAAGCTGAGAAATCCGTCAAGAAAACGCAAAACGGGACCCCTTTTTTGGCCGTTCTTTTTCACTCATGAACAGGTAACAGCTCAGAAATCGGACGTATGAACGAGTTCACGCAATGCGTTTGGTGGCAGCATGCCAAACCACGCTCCAATCGAGTTGCTCCAGTTGTGCCGCTGCTGGCAACGCAGCTCGTCCAAATCACCAACTAAACTAGTGGGCGGATCGCTTTTGGGGCGGAGTGCTTTCGAAGTCCTGCTCAGCAACCAGCGCACCTTTCGTCGTGAAGCGCTACACCTCGCTTCTTGGCAGCCAAGTAACTGATTCGTGTGGTGCATATGCTTCCCCGATGCGCTCCCTCTTTATCGTAATCGCTGCCTTTAACAGACAGCGCTATACTGTTGAAGTTATATTACATCAGAGGTTTCTGTGTAGGTGGCGGTTTGTGGATCAATGCACTTTGATTGAGAGAGCGAGCCTGAAATGAGATTGTCACGATACGATAAGGTCGGAGAAGGGTAAGATATGTCGTGACAGATAATGTGCCCCCTCATGGTCTAGACGAACGCGTGGTCGCCCATAGTGTCCTAGGCTCACAAGGGCTACAACGCGCCGCTCGCCACGCCCGACGACACGCTCACTGCTCGTCAGGTCTGACGATCTTGCCGTCAGTCAGAGAGAGAGAGAGCGTTTGCGTTGAAGGGGCAGCCATCGATCAGTAAGCACATCGCTACGTGAAATCACGTAAAGACAAGGCAAACCATTTCTCGGGATGAGGGCAGTTTCTCTGGTTTTTTCTTCATTGCTGCACCACTGACCACTCCTCATTTTTTGGGCTGTTATATCAAAACTCCGTTCGCTGGAACGCTCCTCTTGGATGCAACTCGAAAGCTTTCCTTCGACGCATACGCATTGAACTATGGAATGGTTTCAAAAAATTGTTGTCATTATAGCTACCATGTAACCATCCTTTTTTCTTCATGACGGCTCATCAGTGAGAACAGCTTCAAAATCGGCGCTGTAATCCTGTGAAATAAGGTTTTTTACCCTATCTAGATGCTGCCCTTCTGATTTGCATTTCAATTTTTGAAGGCCTGGATAAGAAGGCAAGGAATTCTTTACAACAGCACAAACCTCTTTCTGAAGAGATAGAGAGCTCGTGGGTTTGGAACAAACTTGCTTATATGCTTGAAGGTGATTTAGTGTTTGCTCAAGGCTCATGTTCTTCATATTGTCATCTTTGTCAGTCTGTCGTTCTTTTTTCAGTCATTCATCAGTTTAGATTTTGCTACTTATGTTTTCTCCATTCAAGCGGGTCTCTTAAATAACTTACAGACGTCTTTTGTGACATTATGGCGTCTAATTATTTTGTAACAGTTTTAATTATAATAAATCTACAAGTTCGCTAATTTTTCAGATGTTGGAAAAAATACTGATTTTTGTTCTTTTCTTGCCAGCATCATCTGCGGCAATGTGCTATCCAGTGTGCTTCAGAGCTTGCTTTGATAGTAAGTCTCAAACTTTCCTTAGGTCTGATCAAAGTACGTTTCGTATTTTTTAGAACTGGTCCCGCTACGGTCTTCCACCGACTCAGGGAGATTCAATGATGGCTGACGATGCATGTCTGGATGACAACAGTCTGTCAGGGCATGTCCCATGTAGTGCTCCATGTATGACTATTAACATCACAGCAGTTGGAGGCAAGCACAATGGGAAAGTGATCGGTAAGCGCTGGGATGTAAGCTAAGCTGGTGGAAACTCAATGCTGTTGGACATAACCATCAGAGCGATGCAGTGATCACGAACCAAGCCTTTTTTCAGGAATCGTCCGAGACTGTCAAACGTATTTTCGAAGTCCGAAAATGTTACCTGATGGCAAGGATATCATGTGCCGTCACAGTGTGCGCGACACGGTCCGAAATCATCGGTAATTTTATTTGCTCGTTTTTTGCTCTCCACACGGCGAAAATTTTGGTTACAGGCAAGCCCCGGGATTATTCCTTCTAGTAGAAAGGATACCGCGAGGGAAACTGTGGAAGTCCGTACCTACACCGATCATGCCAGCTTCGTCGCACAACTTGTACAATCAGGGCGAAAGTTGTGCGACGAAGCTATTAATCCTTACGGGCCTGCAACCATCGACCCCCATTGCAACGCTTCCCACCCACCGCGATGTAGAGATCAGCGTGCTCTCTCGAACGGCGTGATCTCTCGCGTGTTTTGTCTTCTTTGATCGCCCTGTCTCGCCATCGTACCACCGCAACTGTACTGAAGGTTAAGGCCTTAATTTCGGCGTTCGAAACAAACCCAAACGCGTCTCGATGATTGACTTTTGCGTTTCATTCCTGCTTTCGGTCATTTCGAGCTAATTCACGAAAACGCTTTATCACTTTTCATCCCAGGCTTGCTCTCAATAATCGCGGGCGGTAATCAGACTTTAGGCGTCTGTGGCTGACCCTATTCCAATGTGAGACGCCGCCTGTGCTTTTTAATACATTATATCGTCATGGCTCTGCAAATGCATTTTTTTTTTGCGCAAAGTATGTATTTCTACCATGCCAGTTACTTTTCGAGACTTTTAACCTTTAAGCGGCATGAATTCCTTCAAATCCTATTCATGCAATTTTGAAACTCTCAGGGAAGGTGAGATGTCTGGCTTTTCCAAGGTGCTCTGAAATTGGCCTGGAAATCATCGCAGCCTCGAATATGGTAGCCGTTGGTGAAATTTTGGGGTTTTTGTGGCTTATATTCCAAATTGGCGCTGATTTTCACGCGTCCCATTTTATAAGTTTATTTTTTCTGACATTAATGTAAGCTTTAGATAAGGAAGGGCGGAAGTGGTGTAGTGGCAAGTGGCGCTTACCACGCGAGCGGTCCGGGGATCAAATCCTGGGTCGTGAGTCGCCCGGGCCAACCAAGCCTTCCATCCCTCCGGGGTCGGTTAATTGGTACCAGACTTGTCTGGGAGGATAAAAAACACTGACTTGTACATCGGCTGGCCCCCGCAAGTCATTGTATAGGCCACATCGCATTCAAATGCCACTACGAATGTACAAATGGAAGTAGAATGCGTGCCGCATCCCAAAAAGGGATTGAACAACGGCAAATGCTTTATCCTTTTATGCTTTTTTATCAGAACTAGCGGGAATTCGTACTTCTTGAAGTTACGGGTACTGAAAGTTTGAAGTCCAACATGGAAAATCATCTCTTTGTAGCTAAGCACTGCACTAAGAATCACTTATGTATATTCTTGTTTTTCAGTATAAATGTAGATGGTCGTCTAGTGCTAGAATTTACCGGAAATCTAGTGCAATGGTAAGGCCTCCACAATTGTAATCTTTCGAGACGTGCTCTGCTCGCATGCGTATCGCGACCCCTGATTGCTCTGTAGCGGTGGTGACGCTGAAGTTAGTGGATCTTACACTTGCTAGTGTGGGGTCCGTTTGAGGTTGTCTTTTGGACTAAGTGACTGCGGATGTAGCGAGGGGGGCGGAACATTCAGTTCCTCTCGCGAAAGAGCTCCGTCAACCTTTTGTTGATCATTACCACTTCATTCACTATCATGCAAGCTTTCTCTGAATCACTTTATTTGGTTATTCCATGTTGAAACTATATGTTATGGATGTTATTTTTTGGAATCCTTCTATTAATTCGAATGGCTTGTCCAGCTTTTACAACGTTTCACACACTGTTGTCAGTGTTAAGGCAAATG